CTATGAATAACACAAACATCACTACAACAGACATCATTGAAACTATTAATCACTTACATAACTGGAAAAGTCCAGGCATTGATAACATTCACAACTTTTGGTGGAAATATTTTACCTACACTCACTCTTACCTTGCACAACAATTTACTGAACTTCTTAATTCACCAGATCGCACTCCTGCATTCTTTACACAAGGCATCACTTACATGCTCCCAAAAGACAACAATACACAAGACCCATCTAAATATAGACCAATTACATGCCTTCCTACAATATACAAAATCCTTACATCATACATTACAAACAAAATATACCAACACTGTACTGATAACAACATTCTATACGAAGAACAAAAAGGGTGTACCAAGTATTCCAGAGGCTGTAAAGAGCAACTCATTATAGATTCTGTAATACTTGAACAATCCAGACATAACAAACGAAACATACACACTGCATACATTGATTACAAAAAAGCATTCGATTCAGTACCACCCTCTTGGTTACAACAAGTACTCTCAATATACAAAGTCAGCAACAATATTACACAATTCCTCAATTACATAATGTCATGTTGGAACACTACGTTAACACTTACACTAAACGACACAAAACTTATTACTGACCCAATACAAATTAAAAGAGGAATTTTTCAAGGCGATTCTTTAAGTCCGCTTTGGTTTTGTCTTGCTCTTAATCCACTTTCATATTTGTTAAACACTACTAACTTTGGGTACAATATTAAGCACAACCACGAAATACATCACAACATTACACACCTGTTTTACATGGACGATCTTAAATTATACTCTTCCACAAGCATAAAACTTAATCACCTTCTACACATTACCGATACATTCTCACGTGACATACAAATGGACTTTGGAATTGATAAATGTAAAACACAACACATCACAGCTGGTAAAAGACAACTTTTAGATTATGAGCTAGAACAGGGAAATTTAATAAATTCCATGGACGAGAATGAAACTTATAAGTATCTTGGTTTTCAGCAAAACACACACATTAAACATACGAGAATAAAACAAACACTTATCACACAATACCTACAAAGAGTACGCAGTATACTTAAAACAAAATTACACGGTAGAAATACAATCAAAGCTATTAACACTTATGCCATACCAGTACTTACATACTCTTTCGGGATTATACGTTGGACAAATACAGATTTAGAACAAATACAGAGAAACACACGTACACTATTAACAAAACACCATATACATCACCCTCACTTCTCCACTATACGACTTTACCTTCCTCGTTCGGAAGGAGGTAGAGGACTTACAGATATAAAACTATTGCACCAAACACAAATACACAATTTGCGACAATACTTTTATAACAAATCAGATACTTCAGTCTTACACAAAACAGTAACATATGCAGACAAATCTTACACACCACTTAACCTACACGAAACTAATGTACTCCCACCCACATCCAAACTTACATACATCACAAATAACATACAGACATGGAACCAAAAGCCTTTACATGGACGATTTCCACAAGAGGTTAGCCAGGATTGTGTTGACTCTATAGCAACGCACACTTGGTTGTCTGAATGTGATGTCTTCCCGGAGACTGAGGGTTTCATGTTAGCAATACAAGACCAGGTCATTAACACACGCAACTATAAAAAACACATACATAAAGATAAAACAGTGACAAATGATTCTTGTCGACTTTGTTCACAAACATCAGAAACAATCCAACATATAATATCGGCATGCACACGACTTGCACAAACTGAATACAAACATCGACACGATCAGGTAGCTAAAATCATACATAAAAAATTAGCACTTAAACACAATCTCATAACAGATACGACACCATACTACAAATACACGCCACAGATCATACTCGAAAACAACACACACAAATTATATTGGGACAGGACACTACTCACAGACAAAACTATCCACAATAATAGACCAGACATTACACTTATAGATAAAACACACAAATCCATTTGTATTATAGACATTGCCATCCCCAACACTAACAACTTAACTAAAACACATGCAGAAAAACACCGCAAATACACCGATATAGCTATCGAGCTTAAGACGCAATGGAGAATGAAATCTACTGTTATAGTTCCCATTATTCTTAGTGCTACCGGAGTAATACCAAAGACAATACACCACAATTTACAACTATTAGGTTTAGACAAAAACACATACAAACATTTACAAAAAGCAGTCATTATCAACACATGCCATATTGTTCGTAAATTTCTAAACATAACACAAGATACTACATACACAAATGATCCACAACGTATACATGTAAACAACAGTACTCGCTCACAACACGGTACACAACATACTGTAATATCTCCACCTCTAACCCAAACAAACACACAAATACAACTTACCGAACAAACAAGTACAACAAGTGATACAACATATACTACAATCAGAGATTCACCTCTGAAGCAAACCACATTATCACAACCCATTAGTATTCAACCCAAACGCAAAAGCCTAAACAGCACTTTAGACTCACAACATGACATACAACATACTGTAATATTTCCAACCTTAACTCAACCAACCACATAAACACAACTTCCTGAACAAACAAACGCAATAAATACAAGTAACGCAACACGCACTACAAAGACGCCCTCCCCCCACGGCCTAGCACAGCTAAAAAACACAATACTCCTTCTTCTCAGAAACACACCACGTTATGACAAACACAACCCACTCGTACTCAACCCAAACGCAACAACCTTAACAGCACTACAGGCTCACAAAATACTGTAATGTCTCCACCAATAACCCATGCAACAGCAGAAATACAACTTCAAGAACAAAGAAACACCATAAATACAAGTAACGCAACATGCACTACAAAGACAGGTCCATCCAATAAAGTTACACGCCCTAGCACATTTAAAAAAACACAAAACTCCTTCTTCACAGAAACACACCACATTTTCACAACCCACTCGTATTCAACCGAAACGCAAAAACCTTAACAGAACTACAGGCTCACAACATACTAAAATATCTCCACCAAAAACCCAAGCAACCTCTCAAATACAACCTCAAGAACAAAGAAACACCATAAATACAACTAACGCAACATGCACTACAAAGACAGGTCCACCCAATAAAGTTACACGCCCTAGCACAGTTAAAAAACACATAACTCCTTCTTCACAGAAACACACCACGTTATCACAACCCACTCGTATTCAACCCAAACGCAAAAACCTAAACAGCACTACTAGCTCACAAAATACAGTAATACCTCCACCAATAACCCAAGCAATAACACAAATACAACCTCAAGAACAAAGAAACATCATAAATACAAGTAACGCAACATGCACTACAAAGACAGGTCCACCCAATAAAGTTACACGCCCTAGCACAATTAAAAAACACATAACTCCTTCTTCACCGAAGCACACCATACGTTATCACAACCCACTCGTATTCAACCCAAACGCAAAAACCTATACAGCACTACTAGCTCACAAAATACTGTAATATCTCCATCAATAACCCAAGCAACCTCACAAATACAACCTCAAGAACAAAAAAACACCATAAACACAAGTAACGCAACATGTACTACAAAGACAGGTCCATCCAATAAAGTTACACGCCCTAGCACAGTTAAAAAACACAATACTCCTTCTTCACAGAAACAACCCACTCGTATACAACCGAAACGCAAAAACCTTAACAGCACCACAGGCTCACAAAATACTGCAATATCTCCACAAAAAACCCAAGCAACCTCACAAATACGACCTCAGGAACAAAGAAACACCATAAATACAATTAAAAAACACAAAACTCCTTCTTCACAGAAACACACCACGTTATCACAACCCACTCGCATTCAACCCAAACGCAAAGCCAAAGAAACACTTACACAATAAACTCCATTTAATAAAATTACAGGAATTATTATAATGATTTTGTTTTGTTTTGTTTTGTTTTCCTCTTTCCTGATAGCGTTGGCTATTGTGCCCACCAATAGGTATGTTGGTAAGTACGAATTACATACTATCCCTAGATGTCCAATGTACGTGTGTGATATTTTTTTTTTATTTTATTTTTTTTTTATTTTTTTTTCTTATTTATTTTTTTTTTTAAGGACCCTACATAACTTCATCAGACACAGACACTAATCGTTACTTGATTTTAATCCGTGCGATTAGTTAACCAGGCTAGACCTGAGTTCTCACAAGAAACACCGACCATAATAATAATAATATATATTGACTGCATACTTGTAACAAAAAAATATACATTTGCAGAAGTCACACAATATTGTTGAAATCTAAATCTTCTAAATTTTCAAATTCTGCTACGCTATAAAAGGCATGTTTAATTAATACACATTTAAGAATTTTCCTAAGACTTAGGATTGATAATTTTCTTATACTTACAGGTAATTTATTAAAAAGTATGTCAGAAGTGTTGTATATTGTCCCCGGTAATCGACCGTTTACAGACTTATCAGCGACCCTGTATAATACTGATGTTCATAAATCAAACAATCATTATTTTTCTTGTGAGAATTACGTACGTGTAGGTACATAAAAACAAAAATTTGCTGATATACAAGAAGTCAGGTTAAAAAAAACTGATTCAAGAAATTTAAAAAAAGCCAAAGAGAAATTTTGGAAATTTACCAAAGCCGACCAAGTGAATTTCTGAAGAATTTAAAGAACTGGAAGAATTGTAAGAAACGGAAGAATCTGATTAACTTGAAATGACTGATCCAAAAAGGCGGTAACAAATCTAAGGAATTTCAACAAACCAAAAAATTAAGAGAACGAAGTGACGAATGGAAAAGATTCAAAGAAATGGAAAGTGTTGAAGAATTCGAATGATGAATTTGAATACACTGATAAAACGAACCAATCAGGAAATTGGAAAGTTTGTGGTAAAAGTGAAAGTGAAAGGCGACTTTCACACCACCAACCAATCATAGAGCGCGCAGCCCTTAGTGTGAATCTCGTTAGAAAGTATAAAACCTTTTCCACCCCGCACCTTTCATCAATTGCAGTTGTGTAGTGGTGCAGAATGTTTTCGTTAATAGCCTTCTCGTTACCCGCCCTCTGTGTGCTTCCAGTGGAAATGTTGGCTGAAATTTTTCGGTAAGTTTAACATTTTTTATTGTTTTCGTTTTTCTAACTGTATGTTTATGTTGTAGATATTTGGACGACAAGTCGTTGTTGAATGCAGCTTTGGCTAGCAAGTACTTTATGAAGATCTGCAAAGGAGATCCAGTTTTGCGGCGCAGAATTAGAAAGCGCATTGTAGAAGAGAAGAAAATATGGAGGGAGATAGTTACTAATGCAAGAATGGGAGTCGACGTTATACGTGAAGAAACCTCTCAACCGTTTGCTAGAAATGTTAAAAAGGTCGTTGAAATACGCCCGTTGCATTTTAGAAGACCTGCTGAACAGGAAACTTTAAAGGCGGTGCCATTTGAGCTCGGAGTTGTCGGTTGCAGACGCAATGGTGGAGGAAAGCTAAGAGTCAAGAAAAATCACAAAGTTCGTGCTGAACCTTACAATGCTATTAGATGTTAATGCAATTTGCCTTTCATTTTGTAACCATAGTAGATATTACTGCACTATCGGAATTGTTTATAAATATGTTGACAAAAATGTAAAGTTTGCTATAAATAAATTATAAATATCACATTGTTTTTTAGTGGTTTTTAGTTCCTTTCCGTCCGATTATTACTAATGTTTCCAAAGATTTAATCTAATTGTTTATCGCACTCAAGTTCATTTTAGTGCGGTTTCTTGCTTGCGACGAACTTAATAGTAAGTAATGGCATGCACAATTAAGTAAGCATTATCGGAATAATAGTTACAGTTTAATAAATACTATATTACAATACAATACAAATTATACTATGTCCGCGAAACGACTCGAGCACCACCGAGGGTACGGACTTGCCTGTAGTCAAGATCTGCGGTAGCAGCAGTTTCGGAAGTCTCTCGCAAACTCAATCAGAGGAAACGGCAACTCCAGGAGTCCGACGAGTTCGGCAAATGGCGACAGTCACTTAAGAAAAACTAAAACAAGCATTCCCCCGTTTTATAATTAATGGGACAATAAGTAACAATGCATTACAATAATGATATTCAGCAACAGCCATAGATACGGCGTGGTAAACTTAAAGTAAAAGCAAAAATTGAACGGTGTAAATGCAAAATAAATTTACGGAAAATCGCAACTAATTACGATACTTACAACCGTAACTTGCAACGATGCAAAAGGCAGATAGCAAAAAGATTTCTTTTACATTTCGGTAAAACACATAAAGGTAAAAGATCCCCTCTAAATCAAGCTTTTTCCTTTTATAAAATCCGGCAGACAGCGTATTCGGTTCACTACATCCAAAAATTAGAACTTCTTATATAATTGTGCTGCCTGCTGATGTCCAAAAAACCTGTAATTGGTCTCAAAATTCAAAACAGTTAAGAGCGCTTAGTTTGGTACCCCACACCTGTGGAATGATGTTTTCTGCAACACATTTATTTAGCTACACTGTTAATTCCACTTATTTAATTGGCCGGATTGAAATTTCTACAATCGGTAGGCCAATTAGCACCTATTGTTAATTGGAATGTTGGGATCAACCGGCGAGGTCATCTCTCTCAAGCTGCATGGACATGGACTCAGTTTTAATTTTTTCTTTAATTCTCGTTTTAATTTACAAAAACCTGCTAACAATGACTTAACGTGGTAGAAATTCTAAAATATTAATTTTCTCTCTTTTCTAAACGACAAGAGCTTTCGGACGCAACAAAGATACTTAAAATATCTTGACGGGAACGGTGGCAAACAGCGGATTTATTGCGGCTTCGGTTTAGGGTAGAGGCGACTGAACCACAACCCAAGAAATTAAATAAATTACCTTTAACTTCGATCTTCAACTCCTAGACCCGAAACAAATACAACTTAAAGTGCTTCTAGATACCGGGTGTTCAGACGAGCTGGTCGCCCCCACAAATGTACTTTGTGGTCATAACCTCGGGTATGAATCGTCAAGGGGGAGACAGGTGTTTCGTTACGTTACATATTATTTTGTTTCTTTGATGTTAGAAGTCGTTATCTAAGCACCTTAAGTGTAGAAAGTCAATCACACAGTGACTTTGATTAATAAATAATAATCATTTGTCTTGAATTCAAACGAATCTTCACATTGTCTTGATGTACAAACATCCTGAATAAATAGGGCCTAAGATTGAACCTTGAGGAACCCAATGTACTAATTTCTTTGGTTGGATACCACCATTAACCAGATGATTCAAATGCACTCGTGTGCCACAGCTTAAGTAACTGTAAAAGGGAGGTGTGATATTCACGCCCCATATTCCATAGCAGTACAATTTATCTAACAAGATTGTATGAAAAGAATCAAAGGCGTTGGCGGGTTACAGCTTCTTTGACTTTAGTAGGGTTAGTAGGCGTTAAGAAAAAGTTACTAGACACTGTGCGACGAAATTCGGTAGTTCGCGCAAAAATGTGGTTTGAAAAAATGAACGGTGCAATTTGTTGAAACAAAAAATTAAATGTTAATCGGCCGAAAAATTACACAAAATATTCAATTGCTCACAATCGTATTAGATTTTACTCTACAAATCAAATGCATAAGTACGGGTACGGAATCTCGAGCGCCACCAGGAGGTTGCTGATCCTTGCTCCTACTCAAGGACGGTCGGTTTCGGAAGCTAGGGGACGAAGAGAACGGAAAACTTCAGGCAACGGGTGGCCGGTCACATATAATCTAGCAATCGACCAAAATCCAAATTTGGATACTCAACGTTTTCAAAATGGTAACCGGTTGCCCAAAAAATGGTGGCATGCCCTTCTCCATATGCAATTCCTGCCGAATCTCAAAAACTAATAATCGTGTCTAAAAAATTTGGATAAGAGTAATCAGAACCCATAATTTTGAAAAACTTAAAACAGAATTCAAAGGAATCAAAAAATGTAGTGGGAACTGATTTCCTGAAGGGGAAGTAAGAACAATATGGGGAGAAAGGTTTCTACTGACGTCTAATGATATAAGAAGCACTCTGAGGGGATTTTCACAATTTGAAAAAAAGTTCCCTGAAAAAGTTTTCGACAGAAGGGGAGCGACCCTAAAAACATTTTAAACATCGTGATACATCTTCAAAGGTCACTATTTCTAAGAAAATATGAACATTTGCAAAGCTTCCTCAAAAGGAAAATTGCTAATGTTTCCGACATAGACTACGAAGATGATATCTGATAAAATTATACGCTTTGTAGACAAGAATTTTAAAGAAGATTCCTGAGTAGGAAGGAAATTAATAAGCAATACAGAAAAACTCCGAAGGAGATATCTAAGGATTCGAAGAATATTCCCAACATTTCTAAGGTATTGCAAAAGTTTTGGAAGATTCTCTTAATAAGAGGTGTATGAACTCCCTATTTTAGTATAAGCACAAATTGAATCCAGTTTATGGTCGATGTAATGTAAGAGAACGGGATATAGGTATAGTTAGTCTATTACACTTCCACTAGTGGATTTTCTTGTAGGAAAATCACGATCGCTAGGATTTACTTCAAAATAAAAGGCAAACCGTAATAGATTTGAAAAAATGTATATAAGATAGTATTCTTGATGCATTCATCAAGATATGTGAACTGCTCCTACGATTTTGAAGCAGGCAGGTGTAAAATATTACACTGTATCATGTTCGTGATTAATTTTCAACAATAAGCGCAACTCTTATCTACGAGCGGAGAAAAACATGAGATAAATTTTTACATCCTTTAATTCACTCTAGCAATTTTTCAACTCTATAGCCAAGAAAATTCCATGTTTATACCGTTCAAGCGCGTTTCGTGTTTAAAAGGTGGCGAATTCATAGAAAAGCGAGAAATCGCAGTATCAAATGTTTCGCATTTTAGGAGTGCGCTCAACATAGACATCTTTTAAAAATCACTTTACTTTACTATGAAAAGAGAGGGGGGGGGGGGGGGTAACACGTCTGGTAGAGATATATCTGCTGCCGATGTCAAAGTTTATCTCGAAAATGTGGTATCAGGGCAAGGTACCTACAAAGAGAAAATGCAATGTTGCCAAGGATCTATCTAAGAGCTTGATTCTTCTTGCATTATATAGCGTACCATGGGGAACACTTGGCAAGTAACTTAAGTAAGATTGTCCGGCAGATTGTAAGCTGGAATTTGCACTTTCTAAAATGGACTGCTAGTTATTACCGAGCCACTATGTCAATTACCATTTTTTGTTTAATTATTGTAAATTTGAAGGGGCGCATTAACGCCCAATTTTTGTACGGGCCGATCCTGCTATGTTAATAAAGGATGGCGTATTTTATTTTCATTATATCTTTCTGTGTGAACCACCTTGTATGACCCACTCAAAATCACAAAATACTAAAATGTTACGCAGAATTTCAGACCCTTAAAAAAATAATTGAAACGTAACCCCGCTATTCGTAATTGAAAATGAAGCATTTTTAAAATCACACACGGCTTGCCAAAATTACACGAGACTCTAAATTTATTGCATTCGTAAACACACCTCACAACATTTAAAAGCAATTACAAATATATTAAATCTAAAATCGACCTCCATTTTCCCCAATACTATCTAAATTAAATCTAATCTAAACAAATTTAATGTTAATCAATTAGCACATACGACAATTAAAAAGCGCTTACCTTTCAAACACTTGCACGATCTTGGCGTTTGTGGTCTTCTTTTTGTTGAATTCAAACGGTATTTTGTTAATTGCTGATTCTGATGATGATCTTCAATGCACTTTATCCCAAAAAACGGCGTAAGTCGACCTTCAATTATAACGACGAATTTGTCTGACGCGAAACTATGAAAATTTGATAAAATCTTGAGCTCTTGAATTGTATCATAATTTGATTACAAACAAATTGATGATCTCATTATAAAATTACTTAGGTTTTCATACGAATTCTAAAGCAGTCAGTAATCATTTGATGATTTCCAAATAATACCTTTTGGGGTGCGTCGGCGAAGGCATTTTAAATTGATAAAGAACGTCCGCTTTACCTTCAAATCTCCCGGGAAATAAAATAATTACACGAAGGGGAAGTTCTTAATTTCGCTTGTACGTTTCCCAGACTCTCCTCACCCTCTCCTCAAACGTAATTCCTTTGAGAAGCTCGATCGTGAACTTACGTGGCGGTTTAAAACCATTTGCGTTCGAGGGGCGTTTATATGATTAAATTACGTAAATGCAACCTAAACTGATGCATCGATAGGTCAGTTCGGAGTCATTCGAAAAGGTACTAAAGATTAATTAGGGCGATTGTCATTTTTAATTAAGCGTTATCGACGCCGAGCGTGCGATTTCTCTCCCATTTTAGTAGTTTTCGTGGCTTATTATCTCGACGGTGCACAAGGGTTTAGCTGTCATATGTCGGTGTTTGCGCTATAACAAACTTAATTGGTATTCCAGCATTACGAAAACGTTGTAAGGGCGTAGTTTTCGAAAACTTATTGTCGATGCACGACGTAGCAATTTTCATATACAAACAGGGGTGAAGGTGTAGGTACAATGCGAAATAAGGGCGTTGCAGTGTGACTTTACACAACTGTCACCTATGTTTGCACAAGAAACGAAATTGCTTGGGCAGTAAGTGTACATTGCACA